TGTTTCACTTGCTTCGGCTCCTGAAGATCATTTTGCCTAGAATCTATTGATGCAGTATCACTGGAGTCTCAATGAAAGTCTATCGCCCCGTCCCACTTCTCCAACTATGCTGCTTTGAGTATATATGACGACTCCCGGCTTCCTCGATTCGTCTTTTGCCTGCTGGTTTATTATTTTTGGAAACTAGATGTTGAGTATGAAGTAAAACAGCGACGATCATGATGTTGCTACTTCGTACAAGTTAACAATAACAGTAACAGACCAGCGATCATCATCTACACTCTTCGTCGTTTTCCTTTTTCCTGCGCAGAACCAAATATAACAAGATAACAGAGGAGCGGTCGACGGAGGCCGCCGCTGAGTCCCTCTCGAACTGTTTTCACGTTGGTAGATAGATACTGACTGCTAAACGTCTGTTATTATCATTCCTTCATCATCAGGCTAAAGCAGATCTCGTACACACATATCAACAAATACCCATTTCTCCCTGTCAGCCCGTCGCTTTCGTCCTCAACGCCAATTGATATCATAAATCAATGAGATAAACGAACGAGCAACCGGGAAACTATATGAAAAATATGCTTCAAATCTAAAACTACATGTAGTGTCCGTAGACTTTCAATAAAGGGCTGATTACTCCTCGTCGTCCTCCTTCATCTCCAGATCCTCCCCCCAGGGGCTCTCGTTGAACAACCCATCATCGTCATCTTCTTGATTCTCATGCACCGGACCTGCTGATGCGGCTCCTTGCTCTTCTTCCTCATCCTCATCATCATCTTCGTCCGCAATCCGACGGGTCACCTTGGCTCGACGCCGCTGCACCACATCCTCGACATCATCAGCTCCGGTGTCCCGCATCTCTTGATCAGAATCACCCGCAGCAGCCTCGTGCACCTCATCCTCCACGTCCGAATCTTCCACAATCTCACTGCTTTTGTACTTGCTCTGCGCCTTGCCGCCGGACCGACGCTCCAGCCGTCTGCGCTTCTTCGGTGCCGCCTCACCCTCGCTGCCAGGCTCCCCGCTGACTGCCCGGCGAGATGTCTCCCCGTCGCTGATGAAATCGTCTTCCGCCCTCTTCTTCTTGCGCTTCGACGATGTCTTCTTCCTCCGCCTCACTTTGTCGCCGGTTTCTGAATCGACGGTCATCTCCGCCTCCTCACGCGCCCTCTCCTCTTCTGCCCGCTGCTCAGCCAGTCGCTGGGCTTCCTCAATCATCCGCTGTCGCTCCTCCGCAAGCTTCTTCTTCCGTTCCTGCTCGGCTTCCTGTGCCTTCCGCACCTCTTCCTCCCGCTTGCGGATCTCCGCCTCTCGAGCCTCGCGCGCCTGCTGCAGCTTCGCCGCGTTCTTTTCCTCGTATTCCTTCTGGCTCTGCAACGCACGTTCCAACTGTTTGATGATCGTCTTGCCCATGTTGGCGCGCTGCTCCAGCGCTCCGGCAGGATACGGCGGGTTCTTCACCTTGGCAATGCGCCCGAAGGTCTCGATAGCTTGGTGAAGCCCCTCGGCGGCTTCCTCAACGTCCTGCACCGTTTTCTGCGTCTCTGGTAAGCTGTACGCCAGCGATGCAATCTGGTTTTGCACGAATGCAACATTGAACTCCAGATGGGCCTGTGCGGGTGCAACGGCGTGGGCCCGTTTGGCATAGTCCAGCGCCGTCTTCATGGCGGACAAATTCATTTCTTGCTTGCCCTTGAGCAGCCAGACTCGTCCAAGGCAAGCCAGAATCTGTGCATCGCGAGCACGATCTTTCGACAGCGCTGCCTCGTAGTGCTCAATCGATCGAGAGTATTGTCGGAGTTCGGCATAGACATGGCCCAGATTCAGGTAGACGCTGGGGTCCCTTAGGGTATCTCGCACTTTGGAGAAGATGTGCACGGCGCCGGCGTGGTCTTTCTTATCGTCGACTAGCGCAATAGCAATACCTTGCGCTGCATAGGCATTCTTGGGATCTAGCTGCAGGGCTTTGTCGAAGAATTCGACGGCCCTCTCGTACATCTTGCGGCGTTTCTCCTTATCCTGGTCGGTATCGCGCCGCATATCCCGCGCTGTCGCCAAGTGAACATTGCCCATCCCGGTCAAAGAGTAACGGTCATGCTTGTCAAAGTACTGCAAGGTATGTTTGTAATGTCGCTGCTCGTGGTCCTCAGCGAGGTTCGCCGCCCGCTTCTTGGACTTGCTCAGGTACCACCCGAAGAGAGCGCGGACCTCCAGATTCGTCGAGTCGGCCTCGTAGAGTTTGGCCATTTTCTTCGGCCCTTCATCCGTAGGGCTCTGTCGAAGAGCAATATACGTGACTCTCGCATTGGCTTCCGTGTAGTCGGCATGACGCTCAAGCAGGCCTTCGTAAACTTTCTTGGCCTCGTCTTGCATGTTGGAGGCTTCGTATGCACGACCCAAATTGTAACTAATGGTCGTTACAAGGGCATCTGTGTCAAGCTCCGCCTCCTTCTCCTGTGATCGAACGCAGGCATTCAAAGCTGCCTGGAATAGCGTTCTCGCTTGTTCCACTTTGTCAGCCTGGTACATAAAGCAGCCCATATTATTGAGAAGTTGAGGAGGAAGGTTTGTTCGGAGGACGGCTTTGAGTTCTTCCTCGTCCTCAATACCCTCCGGACGTTCTTCTTCGGCAATCTCAGCCAGTTGCATTTCTTCCAGCTGAGTCAGGCATTGCATGCTCTTCTCCGGGGCGACCTGCTCATAGAGCCGAGACAGGTACACCAAGACTGATTCATCAGCAGAGACCTTCTTGGCTTCGTCCTTCCACAGGCTACGGACCGATTCCAGCAGGCTGATGGCCTTCTTAGCTTCCGCCGACTTGTCCTCTTTGCTACCGCTAGCCTGGGCAGCAAAGACCTCCTCGGCATGAAGAGCCCCAAGTAGAATCATACATTCGGGGTTTTTGGTTTGCTGAATGATTTTTTCCAACCGGAATTTGGCGTCGTCGTAGTTTCGGTTGGATACCTGCATCTGCACCGCACCGAACTTTGCAGGAAGATACCCTTTGTCGCCGCCACCGCGCGCTTGATCGGAGCGGCTGTAGTACTCCGCAGCGCGGGCAAGATCACCTTCATAGTGAGCTTTGCGTCCCAGGAGATACCAGCCGTCACTGGCAATCGCCATTACATCAGTGTGCTCGATGGCTTTCCGCGCCAGTGTCTCGACGGTAGAGTAGGATTTCCTCAATAGGAAGTAGCTGCCAAAGAGTCCACATGTCATGGGGTATTCCTTGTCCAATTTGAAAGCTTTCTGCGTGTACTGAGTCATGGCCACCTTGTACAACGAGCCGAAGGCAGGATCTGTCGTCGCGTGTCGCGAACTGTCATAGAGGTAATAAACGGCAAGCAGGATGTTGGCAACCTTGGAGTCGGGATTCTGTAGGATAAAAAGGAAAAAAATCACATCAGCAATGCTCTACAAAGCTCACAGTAGCCTTCCGTAACTCACCACTGCCAGCGCTCGCTCCCAAGCAACCTTCGCCTGATCCTTGAAGCCCAATTGCCACAAGCAGCACCCGATACCGATTCGAGGATCGGGGTCTGTCAGACCAGGCATTTTCATCAGAACCTTCTGATACCCCTCTAGCGCCTCCGCATACCTGCCCAGTAAGTATTGCGCTCTGGCACGTCCCAGGATCGCCATCACATTCCGGCCCCCAAACGCCTTTGACGATTCTTCGAAGCACTTGAGCGCCTGTCGCAGCGACTCCACTCTCTCGGATGTATCAACTGATCCCGGTCGGACCGGTCTTGGTGGGTGCAAGGATGCCCGCAAAAGGCACAGAACGCCTCGGGCGAGGAACAAAGGAGGGAAAGCCGGGTTCAGTCGCGACGCCTCGTTCAGCGTCGATGTCGCGAGCTGGAGGTAATAGTCTTTGGTCTTGGCTTCTGTATACAGTTCCCCTTCCGAAGCAACTCGGGGCGCCTGTCGGCTCTTCAGCATCAACAGCCAACAGACCCAGCCCAATAGACCCAGTTTCTCTTTGGCTGCCCCATGACCGACCGAAGCCAGGCCTTTATTGAGGATGTCGATCGCATGATCAAGCTGCTTCTGCTTGGCATACGCCAGCGCGATAATCACCCAGAAATTCTTCGCGGCTTTCTCGTTCTCCAGGAGGGTACATAGCTCTGTGGGGTCGTCCGGTAGGCCTTCCAAACTGACTTCGACTTCGCTGTCAAGGGTGGACGCGGGAATGTCAATCGCAGAGGGTATGTCAGAAAAGCGAAGGTTGACCTGAGAGCTGGCGGTTGGGAATGAATTGCCATTGGCGCCATTGGCGTAACCGTTTTCTAACGACGCCATGATGCTTTTCTAGGGTGGATGGGGTACGTGCTGTCCTTTGCAAACGTCTCCGAGATGAGGCGGTAGGAGGAAACACGGAGAGATGCGACTGTTCGGATTTGAGCTGAGAGGTGAGTTTGTGGCAAAGCTCAAGTCATGATCATTTTAGGCAAGAAAATCTGATGAACGTTTCGGATATTGAAACAATGAAAGATAAAGAGGTTTCTTGGTGGACCCGAATAAGAAAGCAGCTCTTGTGTTGAAGCTTTGGAGACAATAGAGCCAGATCTGCGGCTCTTGATCTTTGGTGCTGCTCGGGCGGAATAATCTACGTCGGAGCCTGAGGCATCTAGCAGTGGAAGTGGCTAGTGCATCAAGTAGCACCGCCACAATTAATCGGCTTTTTTGATAATAACACATCCGAAGGAGTGATATTGAATGAGTCCAGATTGATCATCGCCGTTATTTTCAATAGCAATTTTCCTCCAACACTTGGTCGCTTGTTAAACGTGTGCGTTGGATGCCGGGCCATACCTCAACAATTATGTGCCCTGAGATAAAGTACAACCATAGAATATTTATTCCTCGCATGCCGTTGTAAACTCCCGCCATATGTTCATCAATCTATGATATCATTTCGTTTGTCATCTCATGCTCATAAGAGTATTAGCAATATAGTTATTAATAAGCTAGCTCCGCCCAGAAGACTCGAGGTCGTTCTAGTCCCATAGCCCAAAAACCTTGGGCAATCTGCAAAGAAACGCCATGCCTGTTAGTACCATGAAAATCCGCCCAAGCTCCGTCCAGTGATGTAGCCGGACATGAGCTTCTACAAAGCCCTTAGAGGCAGCCTCTCTCTGTACATCGGCCACATCCCCAGCGTCAATGCTGCCAGCCAGGGCAGTTGGGAACCTCCCAGTTTCAAAGAATTCGTCAAGTAGCTCATCCTTTTCCGTCCAGCGCGCCCTGAGCCAGTTATCAAATTCCTTTTGGTCATCCAAAGGAATATCGGACATAGCGAATCGTCTCCAGTACATGTTGACGGAGGTCGGAGGCCTTCCCTGCAAATATGTGGATCGGAGAGTAAAGTACTTGTCGGGATAGCTGCCCTTCCTACAGTTGGTAAAAGAAAGATGTCAGTCAATCAATGTGCAGTGAGCACGGAAACCTCTTTTGGAAACTCACGGTGGCCCTTCGTACGCAACAGTGCAGTCATATACCCAATCGACAGTTCCCTTCAGCTGCTGTAGGCAGAATAGGAGACCGGTCGACCGAGGAAGAAGCTCATGTTTCAGAGGCGGTAGCCCCTGCTTCCGGCCGTATTCATCGCTCCGTCGTTTCGTATTTGGCGACAGGTTGGTGCCTTCTGGGAAAATCAGGAGCCACATGGGGTCATATTGCGGGGATTCCGATTTGGAACCTGACCTTTGGGTCTTGAGTTTTTCCAAACGATGTTGTAGTCGAGGTTTGTCGGACAACCATTTACGGGCCATGAAAATGAAACCGTAGAATGTCATACCCTGCCCGATGATTGGAATATACTTGAGTGATTCCTTGAGAATGATGAAGATGCGGCCATGCATTTGGTTCGTGTAAGCGATCCACCAAAAATAGATCCAGTCGGTGTAAACCTGGTGATTGGCAATCAAGACTAGACGCTCGGGAAACTCGGTCTTGAGTCGTCCATCCTTACACAGGTGAATCTGACCTCGCACACTCTCATCCCCACTGACGCGTACATATGTTGGACAGCCCCATTGTGTCAGGGCTGTTATAACCAAGCCAAATGATTGTTTCGTCAGAGCCATGTAACTATAATAATAGTCCTTGTTTATGAAATAAAGCGGAGACCCGATCAACTGGGTCGCGAAGATAATGATACAGCAGCAATTGAACCATGTTGCAAGTAACAAGGAACGAAGGAGCTGCATAGGAATGCCGTGCTTGAGGCGCGGCTCGGTGTCTTTGAAGCCTCGAGGCTTTTCAACCACGTCATCACCTTTCAGGCCAGGTGCCGGCTTTCGCTGACGAAGCTCTGGAGATTCCATGACGAGCAGGTATAACCCTTGTGAAGCTGTTTAAGAACCTCAGTAGGCGAATTGGAACGATCGAGATGAAGTCGGGGAAAATGAAGTCAGTGAACTCGCCCTCGTACGAAGCACACAACCAATCGAGGCACTGGGGGATTAGGTAAAAATAAGCAGTGTCTCGCTGCCTAAAGCTGTGTGGGCGACACGAGACGTCGCTAAGGGAGAACTCGGGGAGTAAATGAAAATGAGGAAAAGGAATATCAAGCCATGCTGTGAGCAGTGGAAATAAAAAGAGAGAAAGAGACTGGAATTGAAACAACAATAATCACAATAATCATGTGCGCACCACGGTTGCTGGTGGGCACGAGCAAGCGAATAATGGATGAAGTGATCTTGTGATAACCTGCGGGTAGACAACCTTACTTACCTAGGCAATGAAGCACCACCCTGGCACAGCGTGAGTGACGTAGGCAAAGGCGGTCAGGGGTGGATCGTTTTTGGTCACCTTTCGTTAGTTATTCAAGACCTCTCTATCTAATCGATGATCCATTCTATCGTTATCTAAATTTCTCTTGATCGTCTACAAGATATTTGCTTCGTCTGTCTTAGGGAGCAATGGGAAAGCTGCTGTAATCATTGAGAATGTTCTTGAAATAGAAGAAATACTTCAAACATCCTAGACGGCGTGACTCACGAAGACCGGGTCAGAAAATGGACAGAAACAATCCGTAATGTGAGTCGATGCATCATGGAATCAAGATGAAGGAGGAATCTCGAATTGCAATAGCTTGTGACTTGGGGCTAATGAATAGCTGTGCGAGCCAGTGCTTTTATAATGCAAATGGCTATGATTCAACTTCGACCCGCCAGACTGGGATTCGGGCGACGGATTCTGTGCACGAGAGGTTTCTCGGCTTCTTCGTATCTGCAAGAGATTAGAGATATTCGAACGCTACCGCGACGTATCATACCCAAATATGAAGGTGTGCCCCACCTCGTACCGTTGGTTCGGGCATGCTGGGTGAAGATCGCTGACCGCTGCTAGAATCTCGAGAAGGCGACCTGCTTACGCTTCGGTGGCCGGAGCCTCCAAGGAACATTCTCGTTGTCAAGAAAGATTGTGCCCCAGCGGTGACGGAATCGCTGGTTGAATTTGCTGCGTATGGAACACCAGATGAATGATGTAACCTAGGAAGAGCCTTTACTAACACAAACTCTGGAGAGTCCAGCCACACGAGGTCGACCTATCCATCAATTGCCATCATCCTGGAACGAAAGACTGCCGAAGAAATTCACTCTTCGCTTCCTTTCCCGGTCTACTCAACATTTCCAGATAATGACCCATCCGCATTACATGACAAAGTGGATATGACGGTCACCCTTGGGGGAGATGGGACAATCCTACGAGCATCTTCCCTGTTCGCTGCGTGCGTTGATGTACCTCCCATGTTGTCATTCAGTATGGGAACACTGGGGTTTCTAAGCGAATGGAAATTTGCCGAATACAAGCGCGCTTTTCGTGAAGTATTTATGTCTGGGGCCGGTGCCGGAGATCGGGCACCGATCCTAGAGGACCAGATGGAAGATGGGGCCGGGCCAACAGGATGGTCTTCGGTTCGTGGGAAATCTATGGGTTCGTCCAGGGGAGCTCGAATTCTCATGCGCAACCGTCTAAAGGTCGGGCTTTTCACAGTTGATGGCAAACCAATTCAAGTACATGGAAACATCCCTGTTGCACAGGATCATCTGGGTACGCAGGGGGTGTATGTCATGAATGAAGTGCTTCTACATCGCGGCAAGGAGCCGCATCTAGCTGTGGTTGATGTATACGTCGGAGGCCGGTTTCTGACGGAAGCAGTGGCAGACGGGATGATCATCTCAACGCCTACGGGCAGTACGGCATACAGCTTAAGCAGTGGAGGGAGCATTGTCCATCCCCTGGTACCAGCGGTGCTTTTGACGCCTATTTGTGCCCGGAGCCTCAGCTTCCGGCCTCTGGTTCTGCCCGCGAGCACGCCAATCACGCTTCGACTGAGTGAGAAAAATCGGGGGCGGGAGCTAGAGGTCAGCATTGACGGGGTCAATTTGGGACAGGGGATGACGGTGGGCACAGAAGCTCGCGTGTGGAATGAGGAGATGCGGCATGGCAAGAACGAGTGGCATGGCGGCGTGCCATGCGTGATGCGGAAGGTCACAGGCGCTGAAGCGCATGATGGCTGGGTGGGAGGACTGAACGGACTGCTGAAGTTCAATCACCCGTTTGGAGAGGAGCACTGATCTATATCCTCCACAGTTCATCTCCAGTGGGTATGAGTAAACATATAGGCACATGTTCGGGCCAAATACGGAGTAGACGGAATCCAATGGGTATTCGTAATTTCTTGATCCATAATAAATTCATACCTAATAGTCATCATTATTGTTTAGGCTATCGTGTATCCAAATTCTGCTCAGTTTGGTTCTCCGTTGCAACAGCGGAGTGGGCCGATCCATGAACATTAGAGAAGATTTCTGGATATGTACTCCTGATTATGAGCCGTGGGTCCAGGACTCGGCTCGGCGTGGGCACTTTTTAGGTAGTTTCGCACTGGAACCGGCAGAGAGTTCGAGACCTTCGGTGGAGTACTTAGGTACTCCGTAAGGTAGACAGACCTACGGAGTAGACTCATTACTCACTTATCTGGCACACTGGATCTGGGGGGAGGATCCTGTCGATCCATTATTATCTATTGTTACATTGCTGAAGGGTAACCAACTGTGAACAGTATTTAGAAAGAGCAGAACAATAAAACATTCTACAAACAAGTTCTCTGTTGCAGTACAACTCTAGTGCCAAATAAACCGACTATGACTGGTTTCATCAATCAATCTAATTCAACCATCAAACTAACAACAAAAGGCAAAATAATCATTGCCAATGGTAATGTTATCATTACTATGGAGTACTATGGCTCAGACGCCAAGTTATCGCACCTTGTCGAGCCTTACGCAGCCAGTGTCCCGCCCTCGTGGAGTTGACCGGGAGTTCATCTCAAATCGATCCATTTCAACCTCGATTTCCATTCTATCCCTAAGGCGACAATGGTAATTATCTCAGACAGTCTTGAAGATATCTAACGCTGACGAAGATTACTTATCAAGTAGATTTATGTTCCAGCCAGAGAGGGATAGCAATAATGGCAGGTACCCGGATGCTGAACCATGGCAGTCTTGCATCCCATACAAGCATTCTAGAAGCCAGAAAATCAATTAGATAGTTAAACATGATGATTCTTAACTAGATCGATATTGTTGCAAGATGAAACTTCACTACTTGATACTACTACTCCTACTTCCAACATCTGACTACTTAGCAGCAGAATATTAATCCCTTTCCAATCAATATTATTAACACCTCCTTGTTCCTGTCTTCCCCACTCTCTCTCTTCTTCCTCCCTGTCAACTCCCCTTCTCTCTCTCACACTTACTCCCTCACTCGTCCCACCAGTGAAGTATCTTCTGAAACTTTTTTCCCCCCTATTCTCTTCGCCGTCGCTGTGAGATTATTCTACTCTCTCTAATTCATAGCGTCTCTTGTTAACAACTCTTCAAACAGCTTGCAAAATTGCAATACTAGTCCCAGCCTTGGCTCATTAAGCGCTCACCGCGTCCCGTCCCCAGATTTAAGCGGCATTCCCACTTGGAGCTTCCTCGCCCACGCGAGGGCTCTGCTGGTCAGAGGCGGAAAGGGGATAAGGTAAGATTGTCTTCGAAGCCAACGGCGGCAACCTCGCGCATACTTTTATTGCAGACAATCCTCTCTGTCTCCTCTGGCTGTCCTCCAACCCCTGTGCGGCTCTTCTGAAGGATTACCACCTGGCTGAGGGTCTCAAAGTGGGGTGTCATTCCACCCTTTTTTGGCAGAGTCGCTCTCGGGTCTTGTATGCGGGCAATACTGGTGTCGCGGCGTCTTGCTAACACTACTTGTTCTGCTGTTTCTAGGGAAGCATTGCGGCGTCTGTTCCCGTTGCGTGTTGATTTCCCTCATCTCGGCCTTTTGGATCAACGGGAACCCCTGAAGCTACTTCCCCCCCTCCTTGGGGTTTCCGCATTTCCATTGTCCTTCGCAGCATCTCATCGACTACAACGTAGGTTGAGCGCTTCTTTATCTGACCATGCAGGGCATACCCTTCTTAGGATTTGCTTGGTCTTAATTCCAAAACTTTGACTGACCTCTGTCGCAGTATGTATTCCGCCGACCAATTCATGAACCCCGGGCCCGCTCCGCGCCCCCCTACCGACCGTCCAAAGCTCACACTCCCTTCGAATCCCTCCGGCGTGGCCACTTCATTCAGTCAAATGAGTCTCAATTCTCCAAGTACTCCTGGATCTGCCAACCTGTCACTATTTCCCAACACCAGCAGTCCGTCCCTCTCACAGACCAAGACAAACCAGACCGGCCAGGGGGGCGTTGCCGTGGTGAAAGAGGGCTATGTGCGCTGCAAAGAAGACAAGTTTTTGGCTACTTGGAATCAGAGATACCTCATTCTGCGCGAGTTCCGCCTCGATTTCCTGAAGAATGAGACTGGGAAGGTGGTCCTCTCCATCCCACTCAACACTGTCACCAGCGTGTCCCGTTCCGAGGACACTCGGATGGCTTTTGAGATCATTCGTTTGGCCAATGCAAAGGATGCCGCTTCCAAGTCCGCCTTGATCACTCGCGACGTGCCCACCAAAACCATTACCTGCGAAGTCAAGAGTGACGATGAGATCTATGACTGGATTGACAAAATCTACGAGCGTTGCCCTGGCATGGGAGGTGTGAGTAATCCGACAAATTTCAGCCACCGTGTCCATGTCGGCTTTGATCCGCAAACCGGCGCCTTTGTGGGCTTACCCCCTGAGTGGGAGAAGCTGCTGACCGCGTCGGCCATCACCAAGGAGGACTATAAGAAGAACCCCCAGGCGGTGATTGAGGTTCTAGAGTTCTACTCCGATATCAAGATGCGCGAACAGAACCCGCAGTACTACGCTGGATT